TTGAGCTTTAATGGCATTGAACTCGAGCTTCAGGTTGGACTGCGAAGTTGATGGTTACTGAACGTTGCGACAACCAATTGCCTGCAGGTTTCATGGACATGGTCGGCCACCTCGGCTGGCTTCGCTAGGGAAGAATCCTGTTCGATGACCGAAAGAACTTTACGGAATTCAACAGGCAGGCTTTGTTGCCAAAGCTCCTTCAAAACCGCGTCGTTGAACCGATGTTTACCTTGCAGTTGCATCATGTGGCGATGTTGTGACGGTGCTTTATCGCTGACGTCAACACCGGAGATAAGCTTCCGCAGATTCTGTTCATCACTGGAAGCGGTGCGAGAAATGATAGCTGCTTTGAGAGCATCATAGAGATCGGTGGACGGTCGGGTGTTTATCAAGTCAGCGACTTCTCGGGCAACAAAGTCTGGTGAACAGCCTACCACATGGTTGTACCTGCTACTTTGGGAGGTAATGCGATGCGATTCAAAAATGGCCTCAAGTTGTGCGAACCATAGCCTAGGAACACGTGCACCGAATTCAGGCCACTTAACGTAAACAACGTTGTCTATTGCGGGTGTGTGTGTCCGCTCAGAAGCCATGATGACGTGGAAAGTAAGTATCATAAAGCAAGGGAGTACTGCAGAGAGGAATTCAAGGAATGATTGGGGCTCACCAATTATGTAGCTGACTAGGACCTTATCAGCGTGTTCGAATAAATGAACGAGCAAAGTAACCAATACACAATCACAAAATCACAATAGGAAAAGAATGAGTATTCAAATGGGGACTCACGAATGTGTAGACTCAATAGCCCATCACACCGATCAAAATGCAGTAACTGGCTGTGAAAGGAAATATTCACTTGTCGAAATTCCCCACAGATGGTTCCGCGTGAGTGATATATTCCACGGTAGGAAAATTATTCACGGCTAAAAAATGTCACAGGTATTTATTGTGACGTTCAACAGTTGACACAGACACGGAGATTTGGTCTCACTGGTTCAGCGGTCAACAAACAGGTCAACGGAGCGTAAATACGCTCGTTCAGCAAGAAGTCAGCAGGTAGCGCCGGAAAATTGTGTATTCGTAACATTAAAACAAACGTCATGATACAATGTGAACGACAGTTACAAAGTGTGGTTTAAGTTCAGGAAGAATGGTAAATGTGACAACGGAATGCAGACACTACAAAGCATCACAGAGCCAAAGGAACGTGGAACAAGTCGTCTTAGGGATCCACTGTCAAACATATGTTCCCATTCTGCCCTGAAGTACCTTTGGATCTCTACTCATACGCTATTTTGTAATTTTGATAAACCCATATTGTTGGGCGCTGGATCCGAAAATGGTGGCATTTCAAACACTCGCACGAACGCCCCTTCCATGACCGATTCACGTGCTTTTTGTTGTAACAAGTGGATGATATCTCTTTATGGTGAGTTTCCAGAGGCGTCCGTTTGGCGTCTTATACTGCCTCGTTTGTCCCATTGGTGTGTGTTCTACACAACCGTACATTAGGAATCAATACTTATACGGGTGACTAACAGGAACTGGTCATGCTATAAGTAACTGGTGAGCGGTATAGGCTAGTACGTTCAAGCATCCAGAGAAATTGTCGATAAATCCCTTTCGAGGAAATCGGACATCCTTTGCTGTTGCTGGCAATTCGTGTTATCTTTTCCCGGCCTGTCCTGACCTCTTTCGTAGATTCCTTCGTTAAATGGTTAGTTTCCTTCGAAACATCTGCCGGAGGGTGCTCCTACGAACCGTCCTCTCGTGAATGGGTAATTGATAGGAACCCGTTCTACATGAGTTTGACAGCCGATTTTGTGGTAAGTTAAATTCTCAGAACTCAAGAACCACAGAGAATACATGACCGTCGTGCGTCAAAATTGTGGTTTTCTGGCAGTCTACAAAGACTGACTCCAATTGAATACACTTGTTCGTTCTCGTTTTCCGGTATTTGAAACTGTATCAGCTGGAACCACTGTCCCTATGGCACACGGTTTATAGGTGATAAATTGAATTGAATTGAGATAGTTACCAGCATTCAGTGATTCTTGCTGGTGACTTCGTAAAATCAGGCGCATACTAATGTATTCCTGGGAAAACTTTCAGGAGCCAACTGACATGGAGTCAACAGCGAAATTCCTGAAGGAGGAGAAGAGCCTGGACCTTACCGCCGTGTGACGGTTTGTGTACCTAGGCGACCCATTGAGCTGTACTGGGGGTTGGTCACCGTGGTGCTCGTAGATTCTCCAATACTATGTTGGTCACTGGTCTGCGGTTTGAGGTCTGACGAACACAGTCTCCTGGGACTCCGGGTTGCGGGTTGGAACATGTGTGGCGACTTGCTCTATAAGAATGACACTACTTGCATTTCCATCCGTCACAAAGAGACTGGACCTTACCGTGGTGTGGGGGTTTGCATACTTCGGTGACCCACTGAGCTATACTGGGGGTGTCCGCGCGACACAGTCTCTCATACCAGGTTGGCACATGGGTGGAGGTCTGACGAACACAGTCTCCTGGCCCTCCAGGTTGGTGGTTGGAACTTGTATGGCGACGTGTTCCTTAAAAATTGTAATGTACTTGCATTCCCAGCCGAACACCGCTGCCTTGCGGTTAGGCTTTTGAGCCAAAGGCTTTGGTTGGGGACCCTAATCGCCCTCCTGTCTAGGTTTGGGCGCCCTGGTGGTATCCTGGCCCTCATACAACCATGACATTCACAACTAACAATACTCTCATGCCACATCATCCGTCGCGTGGTGCCATCAGCAGGATCGCCTTACTTGCTGCATACAACAGATTGAGTTAGCGAAAACATGCTACTGCTGACGCCTCCCTTTTTACACTTTCACGTTTTCCATCTCCCACCGTCCTCCCCGCAGGTCCCAGCTCTAGGGCTGACCTTTCACTCGCCTCTTATCACACTCGGCTGAAGCTTCTGTACGTCCGGGTTCAGTCACTTTGAAGTCTGTTTTCAAACCCCGAAAGCTTGTCTACTTAGCCATCTTCAATGTTGGCACACTCAAGCAATCAGGTCAACAGGTGGCTATTGCTCGTACGGTAGTTTCCCTCTACATTGATGTACGTTGTTCGTCAGCTACAAGAACGCAGGACGCAAGTACTGTGATCGAATTGACTGCCCCTCGCTCTCTTCCAGGTTTCGGCTGCACACCTCTGGTGTTGCAGAGGCTGCTGCAGCTGGATATGCTGGAGTGGGTATTGTATTGAGCGAACGAGCGGAAGCGCCTCTGCTTGATTGGATACCCGTAGACAGTTGCCTCCGTGCGGTTCATTTGGCAACATCGGTGGGAGAATCTAGAGGAAGTGAGGTTCATCGCACGTTGTTTATTGTTTCTGCTTACGCCCCAACTGACTGTAGCTCTGAATCTGCCAAGGACAGTTTCTTTGACGCTCTAGATGCCCTCCTACAACAGGCTAAAAGCTTAGATGTCGTTGCGGTTGCTGGTGATATGAACGCCCAGGTAGGCAGACTAAGCGCTGCTGAGGCCCGATTGGGTGGTTGTCTTGGTTTGGACACGAGACGCACGGACAACGGAGACCGCTTACTTCAGATGTTGGCACGAGACGCACAGAAAAAGGAGACCACTTACTTCAGATGTGTGCCGATCACAGAATGTTCCTTTGCAGTACGAATTTCCGGAACAGCGGAAATCGCTTGACAACGTGGTGCCCACCATCAAACCAGCGCCAAATCCAGATAGACCATATCGCTGTCAGTTATCGGTGATGAGGGCCGCTCACCGTCTGCCGCCCCCTCTGGAGCACCAGCGTGGACTCCGACCATGCACTTGTACGCTGCTGCCTTTCACTGCGCTTTTTAGTTGAAAAAAATCCTTCAGCTGTCGCACCCTTTCGGTGCCTAACTGCCTTGCCACCCGAAGGTTGCACGAGGGCTTGGATACTGCCAGGTTGCCCAAGCCTAGATAGGGAAAGTCGAGAGGCAGAGGTCGGGTTCGAACCATGGAACTTCCGGTCAGTAAATTCGCGTTCTTACCACTTGGGCCATCTCGCCCCCTTTTCAGGTGTACGCAAAACGCGCACACCTCGCTCAGCTGTTAAGAAGCTAGTGGTTTGTAAAAAGGCTCCCTTGGATTTAGGTGTTATTTTGTTTAATGTTTGTAGGCAGCGAGGAGCCTGAGATCCTTCGGTCACAGGACTGGCATTCGAACGGCCCAGCGCCTTCCCGGTGCCCAGGCCGAGGAAGGGAGTTTGGTTGAGGTACCCCACCTTGAGCCTTTGACTCAAAAGTCTGACCCACAAGGCGTTGGGGGGACGTAGGGTTCTGTTCGGGGACCCTGACCCTAGCCTCTGACTCAAAAGTCTGACCCACGAGGCAGTGGGAC